CAACCTCCGTACCACACAGTGATGCAGCCAGTGATGACGCTCTCAATGGTGCCCTGGTAGAAGGAGCACATGATGGGGGGTGGGACACTGGCTTTCCTCAGTTTGTGGAGGAAGTAGAAGCATATTTGAGCTTTCTTGGCCAGTGATGTGGTGTTGTTGGTCCAGGAGAGGTCCTCAGGAACCCCTAGGAACCTGGTACTGCTCACTCTCTCCACTACAGAACCGTTGATGGCCAGTGGGGGATGCTTTAGAGGTTTTCTCCTGAAGTCTAAAGCATCCCCCACTGACCATCGACATTTTTTAAAAATCTGTTCATGTACAGGTTATACAAAAAATGTTGGTTGGCATATTTACATCATCATCATCATCAGCTTTATTTATATAGCACATTTATCCCAGCCATAGCTGCCCAAAGTGCTTAACACAGTGACACATCACAACCGTATTAAAACAAATAGAAACAACACAATAAAATACACCGGCAATAACATAATAACAATAAACAAAACAAATTACCAACATCCCCTTACAACAACCCCCACATACAGCATTAAAACAAGGTACCCCAACATGACACTGGCTCAAACGGCCAAGGGTAAAAGTGGATTTCCAAATGCCCGATGATAAAAATAAGTTTTTAAATAGACTTTAAAAATGTCCAGTGACGAGGCCTGCCTAATGTGGAGAGGCAATGCATTCCACAGTTTAGGGGCCCCCGCCGCAAACGCTCTGTCCCCAGTGTAAAGCTTGCAACAGTACTTGGCACTTACTACTGTCAAACGTTTATTAAAGGTTCGTCAACATTACTTCAGTTCCATAGTATATTAGTGTTGAAACATGTAGCCATTTTTGTCTAATATATGACCACCTGCCTTGGTGTGTGTCGGCTGGTTGCAGCCAGACTGCTTAGAGCAATATGTGTTAATTTGATTGACAGATAAGGCAGCGTACAGTCAAACAATAGAACTAATCAAAAGTAATGTTCAAAATTTAAAGCAAGCTGCCAAATGAATGGAGCCAGTCTAGACATAGAGACAGCTTCTTGTTAGCCATCCTACCCTTGATGGTGTTATTTGTCCCAACAGCTTTGTCTGGATATTTGCCAAAAGAAGGCGTTCTGCACAGTGAAAAGATGCAAAGCAACAGAATGAACTTAATAATAAGCTTTTTACTGAGACGAATATATTCAGATGTAATCACTTTGTAATACCAACACTTTTATTAGTAACTATTTTGTTTCTCAGTAACTGTAACTGATTACAATTACATATATTGTGTAATTTGATTGCAATTACATGTATCTGGTTACATTTTATGCAGATACTGCAATCCCTGTTCCACTGGTTAACTATAAATGATGTAACACGATTCACAGGACTGCAGCCTATATCTAATCCACTGAAGGCAATCCTGTGTTCTACCAGGCGGTGCTACATGAACAAATGAGGAATACTGCAGCAGTACATATTACAGTGAGGATTATATCCTTATTGTAATTACAGGGCTGCAGCCCTCCACTCCCCTCCTCTTTGCAGCCTCTTCCACAAGATCATGTATTAAGCCTGTACACCTCACGGAAAGAATTCGGAGCATAAATGCACCAGGCAGCGCTCTGTCCAGTGACAGTGAATACATTCATCAAACACAGACACGGTATATAATGCCCTACTGTGTTCTCTGTGAAAGTGCATGCTTGACATTTCAATTGTTTGTGTCCTTCAGCCAAATGAACTGTGTGCATGTGAAGGATCATGCCACACACTTGGCTGAAGCATTTAATGACTGTGATTCATGCACAGTAACACTGATTTTTAAGTCTGAATGTTAACTGAGAGAATAGGATTGCTGTTTACGGTGTCTCCTACTACACGGACTAAAATACTGCCTCCTATTAGTATCATAAAGAGCAATTTTGCAAGAGAGTTTTGTGGGTTTTACTGATAGTGTGAAACACACATTCTCACACACAACAGATGTGGAGCACCAGAGGCTGTAAGCACATTAATTTCCTGCACTGAATCACTGTGGCTAAGGCTTATGGGCATTTCAGCAGGCTTTAATGTGCAGGATGTGATAATGGCCCAACACCTGAGAGAACTGCAGTATACCAAGACGTCACTGGGTGGATTTGGTGTATTTCTGTTGGACTTGTTCACTTTGAACATGTAAGCATGCATGGCAATGTATTTCAATGACAAATACTGTATACCCACCAAGAAGATGGTGGAAATAATATTATATGTTGCAAGTATTTTTATAGTGTTAGATGACTTGGTCTTTCACGTCCACCTCCAAAGGAGGTTAAGGACATGGAATCTGGACCATTGTTCAATACCTCCACTGTGGAAGCGGTTACTCAAGGCTGAAGTCAGGAGGTCGTGAGTACCTGCCATGGTGGCAATGTGAGAACCTGCTGATAAAATTATGTGGAGAGGTTTGGAATGGCATATGGAACAATCCGTTCGATTGTGGTGCTGATTTAGATCAACATTCAGCTCCAGGAAATGTTTTCAGGCTTCTTCAGCATTGGAAAGGCTGTTGAGTGTATGTGAAGCCCCCTTGTAGCAAAAGTGCAGGGCTGTGCTGCTGACCACTTGGAGTGAAGACAAGTGGAGCTGATAAGTGTAGCAGGACACATGTTGGAAAGCAAATTCTAATGTGGACTTTGTGCATGCAGCCAAATGGTGTGAGTTGTGTGCATCTATGAAAAAATGTAAGGAGACATTGTTATTGAATAGAAACTTTATTGTCATTTTATATAAGGACATACAATGAATAAATAGCAACAATTAAATACTGGTAGCAGTACCACATAATAGTGGTAGTCACAGAACAGGTCACTCACTCAGGATTGTGAAGATTTGATTTCACAACAGGACTCAGATAAAACTTGTCCTCATTCTGGTTGTGTGGGCCTTTACTTGAACACCTTTTCAACTAATATCGCTATAAATTTGAATCCAAATGCTAGAGGTAGGTTTTCATAGTCACGGAATCATATTATGAGGGTCAAACTATCATGGGAGTATTGCTTTTAGGTGTAATGGCATTATGGGGACAGTGGTAGTTTCATATTTTTCATTTATTTTGCCAAAAAACGACTTGCTTTGTCATATAGTTTTGACTTAGTATCTCTTAAGTGGTTTTTTTTATTTTGTTATTTTCTGAATTTTCAAACGGTATGATAAAGACAAGCTATTTTCTTTTCCTAGCCATAGTGGCGGATGCTCAGCAAATGTTATATAGACTAGCATTTATCCCAACATGGAAAAACATACTGTCATTTTACAGACTGTCCTATGTGAACATTAGGTATATCTTACAATGTAGAGCCCATCAGTGCAACACAGATGTAAATTACAGGCTCAAAATTGTTCTGTCTACACTAAAGGTTACGTTAAATGATTCCCCCCCTCCCTTTGTATGCAAACAGTACTGCTATCAATGTCAAAGCAGCAGCATCAAAAGCAGTTCTCTAATCAAGATCTTGTCATGTCTGATTCCTTGATACAGTGAAAGGTTTAATCAATCCTGTGAAACAAACTGGCATTCAAAAGAAGTACAATATTTATGTGTGACTGCAGCAATGGCAGCTGCACCAGCTACACTTCAATGATTTAGTGATTTTGGCCACACCTAAGGGCCACCTAGTGCAGGAGACAGGGCGCAGAAGAACCTCTGTGCTTCACAGGTCAAATACACATAAAGAATAACTGATGGTAATGAGTTTCTGATCCACTTGGAAACCAAAATGAACATTAAGAAACAAGTCAAAAACAAATGATCAGTCACATTCGCCTGACTCTGAGGGTACATCGCTAAAACAGAGCTCCAGCATCTTCCACATACAGTACATCCCCAGAGCGATTACAGTGCCTATGTCACACATCCACCAAATCTCTGACAACAGTCATGCACCCACACATTCGTCTTCCTGGCTGAGGCTCCTTGATTCTGCAAGTGGTGACAGCATTATCAGGGGGAGGCCTGCGGTGAGAGGGAGAGTACAAATAAGACAGAGAAGGACTTGATCTCAGCAGGAGATTTCAAAGACCTCTCACGGCTCGCAGCTGGACAGCAGCTCTGCCTTGGTGATGGCAGCTCTGCCTGGAAGACTGAGCTAGTAGCAGAGACCTAACAGCCATCACATCACACACAAAAGTACTGCAAGATGGTGACAGTGAACACCAGAAACCTCATTTATCAACAGATACACTGAGTTTTATGCATAAATCTCGCTCTTTTCTGCACATAAAGTCCAGTTTATCAATGTATTTCCATGCTTGAAAGTGTGTGTAGATGGAGCAGTCCTGAGAAATTCTAGAACGTGTGTATCTGAAAAAAGTTGGCTATGATCACTTCCTCAGTTTTGGACTCTCTATCCCCCCAAATGCCAGTGTTATCAAGATGACTTACTCGTGGCCAGTGGCGGGTAAAAGCTAAACTGAATAAGAAATGAATTCTTCTGTGCTGATCTCCATTTTCTCCACGACTGTGCCATAGGAATTCATTAAAATCCAGGCAAAATGTCACCATTTTAACTGTCAGTTTTAACCAGGAATTTCATTTTTACAGGGTTATCTGTTCCCCTTTGTTTCAAGTGATTATGCTTATAAGAGAATATTGACCTGTCCTTGTTACAGTACTTGAAATGACAAAAATCTTGACAAAAACCTACCCTGTATGGATAAATAAATAAATTATACAAAGCTAGGGACTTACTTGAGAGCACTGGGATACAGACACTTCTAAATCTAGAAACATATTCACAAATCTTAGGTTTTAGTTCTAAAGATACACACTCATATCTCTCACAAATCCAGTGAATATTTGCAAATGTCAGGTCATGCATTCATGACACTTACCTTGCATTTTCAAACCAAATACTGCAAATATCAGGTCATTTTCCAAATAAAAGGTTGTTGCAGCTCACTGAATCTGTGCTGTTACTGTAGCAGTAATCTGATAGTTATTCTGCATGTTTTTGTGTCTCATATCAGGAGAATGCAGCTGCAGCTCTGCAGGGTCTTACGATGGCACCGTGTTCAGCCGGATATTTCAGATCCTTTACAGAAATGAGGAGATTGTGGTGAATGACTGCATGATCTTCAAAGTCCACCTGCTTTTGGAAGGAGAAAGGGTGAGTCATGCTGGTGACATTTTCTGTCCCAAACAGCCATGTGGCTGGTTGCATTTTATCAGTAGCCCTGCTATGAAATGCATGACAGATAATTACAGTGAAAGCAGTACTGCCTATTCATAACTGAGATGAGATAATTGGAGCAGGTGTAAACATACCGTGAGCACATTGTGATTTGGATTTCCACAGCAGGGCCAACGGTGTAGGAAGATTAAAGAAATGGTCTGCTGATGTACAGTGAGGAACAGACGTATTTGAACACCCTGCGATTTTGCAAGTTCTCCCACTTAGAAATCATGGAGGGGTCTGAAATTCACATTGTAGGTGCATTCCCACTCTGAGAGACAGAATTAAAAAAAAAATTCAGGAAATCACATTGTATGATTTTTAAAGAATTTATTTGTCTTGCACTGCTGAACATAAGTATTTGAACACCTGAGAAAATCAGTGTTAATATTTGGTACAGAAACCTTTGTTTGCAATTACAGAGGTCAAACGTTTCCTGTAGTTCTTGACCAGGTTTGCACACACTGCAACAGGGATTTTGGCCCACTCCTCCACACAGATCTCCTCTAGATCTGTCAGGTTTCGGGGCTGTCGCTGAGCAACGCAGAGTTTAAGCTCCCTCCAA